TGTGCTATGAGTAAGGTATAGCTTGATAGCAACTAGATGCTAACCTAACTCTTAAACTTCCATACTTCATATACTTTATGATAAGTTAATCGCTTTGCTTTGTATGTGTCCACGACCCAAAGGTCACTTGTAATGGCCTCTACGCGTGTATATATAGAGCGCATAACTATATTGGTTTGTCACGCAACACTAAACTTGATACGACGACGTGTTGTCAAGTACAGTGGCAGTTATTTGTGTTTATCGGGGGCGGCGGCGTGTTTTAAAGCCTCGGGTTGTAGATACTCATCTTTGTTGGTATTGAGAAAAAGCCCAATGTTTACGTGTGGGAAGACGAACTGGCCAATGATGAGTTGATTATGCAGTAGTCGTTTGTAAGTGCTTTGTACGATGCTAAAGTTGCAAAGGTGGTGCTTTGCGTAAATACAGTATTTTACTGAACCACGTCTGTGTTTTATCCCTCCAGAACCGGTAAAGAGGGCCAGCCCAAAGAATACTATACACTCGACTCTATTTTGTTCTTGCTCAACAATGTACACCTACCGCATCCGTCCTATGTGCGAAGAGCTGCAGTAAGTATTTTCAGAACACTCAACTGTATTTATAGAGCACTTAAAACAACCAACGCTGTATACGAAGTGCTGTTAATGGAGCAAAAAATAATTGATACATCAAACAACAAAACAATAAATTAATGACAAAGACAGTAGAAAGCTCAAAAAAAGTCAAACTAAAAGTCAAGTATAATGCTGAGTCAAAAGCCAAAGAATAAATCTCAGAGAGGTCAGGTGGGGCAAGGCCATTTAAAAACTTGAAAACAAATAATAGGATATTAAAAAGAACTCTAAAATGTATAGGGAGCTAGTGAAGGGATGCCAGAATAGGAGTTATGTGCTCCCTCTTACGAGTACCGGTCAAGAGGCAAGCAGCAGCATTTTGGACCAACTGGAAACGCTGGATTGAGGATTGGCTGACTCCAAAATAAAGTGTATTATAATAATCCAGCTGGGATGTGACAAAGGCATGAATTACTGATTCAAGGTGCTCTTGAGAATTGGGCCTTTAATACGGTGAAAGAAGCTGTATTTAACAACACTAATTTACCGGTCCATTTTAAAATCACTGTCCAGTTTAAGACCCAAAGTCAAGCGTGTTGGCTTAAGATAAGGAGCCAGGCGGCCCAAGTCTGCAGGATGGGATGTACAAAGGCTACTGGGACCAAAAACGATCACTTTTGTCTTCTTTTCATTGAAATTTAAGAAATGTTGTGCCACCCAGGTCTATATTTCCTCCAGATAGGATAGAAGTGGCCTCAATGAGAAAGCGTCTTTTTTACTCAGCGGTCCATAGATCTGACAGTCGTCCGCATGACAGTGGAAGGAAATACCATGCTTCCTTAAGATTGAACCCGAGCAGATACAGTGAGAACAGCAGAGGCCCCAGAATAGAGCCCTGTGGAACACAACACCACAGTGGATGCAGTTCATGCCTCGGAGTAACCAAGGCTAACACAAAATGTTTTGTCATCTAAATAGGACCTAATCCACTCAAGTGCGCTACCGCCAAAGCCCACCAGGGGCTGCAAACGAGCCAACAGAATATTGTGATCCACTGTATCAAATGCTCGAGTTAAATCCAATAAAACCAGACACACATAGTCTCCAGTGTCATTTGCCAAGAGGATGTGATCAAAAACTGGGCTGTAACAGTTCTACCTCTGTGCTATGCATCATCTTGAAACCTGACTGGAAGACCTCCAAGACATTATGTTCATCCAAGAACACTGATGGCTTTGCCTTTTTGTCACTGTTAAAGTGAAAGTTCTGTGCCATTTATTTAGTCGTCTTGATTTTCCCATTATATTTATCTGTAGATGCTAGTAACTATTGGTTGTTTAATGTATTTTATTCCTCCATGGTTTCATAGACAGAGAACATCCCTGTTGTTCGAAGGCCTGATCGAAAGGGCTTGCTTTCTTACCTTAATGGCGAGAGTTGTAAGTAGCATCCAGAATGTGACCAACTCACTTTAATGTATTCTCCTGGAAGAAGTTTTAATCGAGTCTCTCAATTATTTTTCTGTACACAGCGACGTCGACTAGTATTGACAGAAGTGCACCCATAGAAATTGGTCTGCAAAGGCCAACGCAAGGTAACTGCTCCATTTTAGTACATAGCATTTGTAGTCAGTGGCAGATTTTTGTAAAATACAGTCATATATATATATTATATATTGCATTATGTTATATTTTAACACTGATGATCTCCTGATATGCTTGAGGAAAACGGTGATAGGCAGCTGCTCTTGCTGCTTCTTAGAACTACTAGATAAAACGACCTTCTACAGTCTGTCTTATCAATGTTTTTTTCCCCCCTTTATGTACTGTCATTTAGTCCATATAATGCCATAATGGTGGGTTACTACGGCTCAACGTTTTCCTTCACTGGGCATTTCCAAGTGGTCTTAACTTTTTTCTGGCTCTTTGGCTGTTTGCTAGAAGCCTAAGGAGGAGTATGGCGTTTGGGCTGTAACTTAGGTTGTCAAAAAGAGAGAGCCCAGAAATATGCCAAGATACTGCACTGCATGCAGTGAATCACTCAAGCTCTATGTTAAAATCCTTGTCAGGTGAACTCAAGTTTTAACCAACAAAAGCACATAATCACAGTCGGCTACTATATTCTATAATGAGACTTTTCTGGATGTATTTATTTTACAAGAATTAGTACGCCAGATGCCACAAGTGAAACAAAATAGTTTTCAGAATATTTTTGCAACGCTGCAGAAAACGCAAATTTGTGAATAGTGAACCACAAATACTGAAAAAAATAATCATCAGGTTAACTATACCGTATATTTCAGATTTTTCAGAAGCTTCAGATGTACTTTTGTACTTTCAAATTCCAATTTGTACAAAGTCACGTACAAAGGGCCAAAGTTGACATTGTTTTAATTTTTCTTAGTGAAAAGAGCTGCCGATGAGGTGTCTTCAGAAGCCAAAAAACCCAGGATTGAGGTGACTATTTTGCACTAATCGAAAGCCCCTTTCACACAGAGGATGGCAGAACTGGTACATCACACACATAACAATAGAGTCTGGGTTCATCAGCCATTGCCTTGGACAAAGAAGCCACCAAGTCTGCACAATGCTGTGCATTCAGACAGTGACACAACTTTTCCTTAACGTCCTTGTTGTAAACTATCTTGCCTATTAGCCTCCATTTCTAGACACCGTTTGTAATACACACTTTGTGACTTCTAGTCATATGGCACAACTTTTGGCTTCTGTGTGTTATCTTGTTCTCACTTTCAGGATGAAGAACGGGTGCGTCTGGACAAGGAGCGATTGGCTGCTCGTTTGGAAGGCCACAAGGAGGGTATTGTACAGACCGACCAGATCAGGTAGTTTGTCCATATAGTCTGTACGCCAGGTGGGATGAATACAGTATAGTAAACAACTGCAGGTTCTCAAATTCTCTGCTTCCTGCTTCTGCAGATCACTGTCTGAGGCCATGTCGGTGGAGAAGATTGCAGCCATTAAAGCCAAGATTATGGCCAAAAAGCGGTCCACCATCAAAACGGATCTGGATGATGACATCACTGTGAAACAGAGAAGTTTTGTGGATGCCGAAGTAGATGTTACTAGAGACATTGTCAGCAGGGAGAGGGTGTGGAGGACAAGGACAACCATTCTCCAGAGCACTGGAAAGGTCAAAATCCACACAAAGTTAATAGTCCTAAATCAATTTGATGCATCTTTCCCCAAATACTTTTTTCCCCTCTCCTTTTTTTCCCTGGACATTGAAAAATATAACACATAGGTGTTACATATATCTCCAGAAATTTAGGTTAGGTCTGTTAGGTCTTGAACTCTCAATAAACGGCTTCACTTATTAGTCAGAAAAATAGGACCATCAAACCAGCAATCATGCTCTTGTGAGCCCACAGATGGCATTGTCATTCTATGGAAAATTTGCACACATGAGATAGTATAGTGCAAATGGCAAAAAAAGTAGTTGTAAGGTTGTAAAGGTTTCTAACTGCCTGTAGATGCCACAAGATGGTGGCAAAGCAACGCTTTTCTATTTGATGAAGCCCCTCCACTCACTCCAGCATATTTCCTTGCCACCAAGATGGCGTTAGTTATTCTTCTGCAGTATCTTATGTATGGCTTTGGCCTGAGTGCAAGAGCAGTGAATAGGTGAGTTTTACAACAAACGATGGGAGGACAGGTTCCCACCAAAGAAAAGAAAAATCTGCAACTATGTTTTTTCAGTTGACGAAATAAGCCTCTGCATTTGTCTGAACTTGCTATTACTCATCTGTTGCAGAACTTCTCCAAGAACATTTTTGCCATTCTTCAGTCGGTGAAAGCCAGAGAAGAAGGGCGAGCCCCAGAGCAAAGACCAGCACAGAACGCAACTCAAGTGGTAAAAACATTTGTCTCATTCTGGCCAGTGTACGTGCATAAAATGGCGGCTCTTCACCCGGCCTACCTGCCAAGCTGTGGGTGGACAAACTCTTTGTGGATGCAGTAGTATTTAAATGAACCAGAATTTAGGCTTCACAATCAGGCTTTATGGCTTACATGCGAACACTTTTTCGGAAATAGCAAGCTCAAAAAGTTCACTTGTTTGTGTCATTTCTCACTGCTGCGTCGGCAGGCACTCCACCAACCCTAATATGTGTACAGTACACTAGTCGCTACTGTAACCAGAACCTCTTTAACATTATGACGCTGTTGCTAATGACCACTGATATTTTCCAGGACCCTTCGCTAAGGAACAAGCAGCCAGTGCCGGCAGCCTACAACAGATACGATCAGGAGAGATTCAAAGGAAAAGAGGGTCAGTGCGGACCTGTGCACATTTCACTCATTGGAATCTAAAATAGTTCCAGTGAATGATGCTGTTTGTAATTGTTGGTTGTAGAAACTGAGGGGTTCAAGATTGATACCATGGGGACCTACCATGGAATGACTCTGAAATCAGTGACGGTAAGCTCTTCCAATCTAACTTGATGCAGAACACCAAAACTGTTGAAAATGTTAGTGAGGTCGTTGTTTAACGCATTCACTTTATTGGGTCAGAAAGGTTGCATGTCACCATATTTGACCTTCACTTGGTTGAAATCAGACCTAATCAACGTGGATTACCCCCACATCATAAAACCTGTCCGAAGCAGCAGCTGTTCATATCTTTGTGCGTAGTCTCATTTGCTCCAGCATGTTTTTGCATGAGCAAACGGTTCTTGTATTGTACAGGTGTCAAACTCAAGGCCAGGGGGCCAGATCTGGCCCGCCACATCGTTTGATGTGGCCCGCGAAAGCAAATCAAACATGTTGACTTCCATGATGCTTGCTAAAATTTTAACCAAAATTTTAGATTCTCATATGAAATAAATCACAGATATATATATTCAAAGCATTTTCTTCTTACCAAATTCCTCATTACAATAACTTAAACTACAGCTGAATAAACCATTATTCTTGACTTCCTTATATGGTTTCACAGTCATACCAGCCCTCCAAGGAAACCGGGAACTATAATGTGGCCCGCGACAAAAAATGAGTGACACCCCTGTTGTATTGGATTGATCGTAAATTGATTGGTCTTGACAAAAAGTTTGGTGTGCTTATTACGCGTTAAAGTGACTCCTGCGCTGGTCACGTGTGAGCTGAGTTAAATCAACTACACGATTATCAATCCCGATGACTGCCGTAATGTTGGTTTCAGCATCGGACGGGACCATGCCGGATGACGCATGCTTGCCAAGATAAAATCATTTGAGCACTCGTTCACATCACATGATTGACAGCAAATCAAAATAGTTGAGGGATACCGTTCTAATGGCAGACATATATTGTTATGCCATTCCTGTCGGCTGATGTGATATTTGATCGGATCAGACCTTCGTTTGATGAAATCGTATTGGGTCTTTTGCATCACGCCGAATGTTTCTTTAAAAATGACAACTGAATTCGAGACGAGTAGGTACTCTCTGTCCATTTTCTCAGATTTAAGGGACAAATGTCTTTTTTGTCATGCTTCCTCTTAGGTTGAATTGATTTGAGCTTTATCTCAAACAGTCAAAATACATTTATTAAAAAAAAAAAAAACACAAAAAATAAAGACGTTACAAAATATGGCTTAGTCCACATAGAAATACAAATTAAGTTTGAGAAGGGGCAGAAGCAAGCAAAATCTGATCTTGCCCTGCCCCTCCTAACGATTCAAGTCATCACCTCCCAAAAACTTGAGTCATTGTGTGTGTAAATGTGTGCCTACGTGTCCCCCCCCCATTTTCTTTTTCACATTGCATTGTATCTTAATATGTCAAATTTGTCTTGCAAACCTAAAAATAATGCACTACACACATCTGTTTAGCAATTAAAAAAAATCATCTTAGTGATATGAAAGTAAGAAGAGTTATTACTGGATTTAGCTGGAATAGTTTAAAGAGGTTGCACATTTTGTCTTGTCGCTAAGCATCATACTCCAGTATTGAATTATTTCCCAGGGCTGAAAGCCATGGGACGTTAACAGACGATAGTAGTCGCATCCTTTGAACGGCACCCGCCAGTGGTTGAACAGAAAATGACTGGGTGGGTCGATGGGCTCCAAGCCAAGCTTGGCCACACACAGTGCCACATGCACATCCTCAAGGTGCAGCTGGCGCACACTCGGAGATGTTGTGTAAATTTTCAGAGCCAAGTCTCCGGAGAGCACGTAGCCCGTCCCAGAACAGAAGGTGGGATACATCACATTTGGGTACTCCTGTTCGGAAACATACCACTTGCTCTTTCTGTCCCGGATGGGTGCATTATTGCGAATGACTCTTCCGGTAAAATAGTTCGTCTTGGGCTTTAGCTCTGGTCTGAGCAGCTTCCGAATCAGGTTCTCTGTGTTGATAAACATGTCACTGTCCGTCTTCATGACGTAGCTGGCCCGTGAGCAGTACCGTGCCACCCAGTGGAGGCCCATCAAGGTCTTTAGGGTCAGGTTGTTGTACGAATCCAAGAAGTCCTGCTGAATTATGTCATGATATTTCCGACTTTCTTCCTGGAGCATCTGTTGCTGGCGGCTTACTGCCTCACCCTCGTCTTTTCCCAGCAGAAAGATTCGGACGACTGGCACGCCTCGGATCAAATGCTCATTCCCCCAGGTCTGTCGTATCGCGTCTCTTGCTTCCACCTGCAAGGCCTCTGTGGCTATTATGAACACCAAAAATGGCGCTGTAAGATTCTGTCGACATTTGACCGGTTCGTTGATGATGTAAGGGAAAAGGCCCTGGATTTCGGTGTCATTCAAGTGTCCCACCTCGCTTTGGTTGGTCGTGGCGAGCTTAGGTGTTTCCAAAGCTGTGCCACTCTCAAAGGAGGTCCAGAGTGTCGTCCAGATAGAAATGCTTGTGTTCATGATTGATTTGTCTGTTTGAAGTCCTTCAACTTTGGACGGCCCTGAATTGCCTGCTGTGATATTTGGCCAAATGTGACGCAGCAGAAAGATCAGCAGAGCTACCAGTAAGAGGCAAAAGGCCTGTTTGGCCGACTGAGTCCAACAGTGGCGTCTTTTCAACTGCATGGCTCTGGCTTAATCGCTCTTGAAAGTCATCTAATTGTTTTGTAATGGCATAGTCAAGGGATTGTCATCCTTTGTCATGCGATTCCCAACCGCAAGTTAATGGTGAAGATCTGGTGATAGATAACCTAGGAGACAAAGAAGAGAATGGAATTTATTGAAGGCCTTTGGCTGACACGGCGCAGACACGTTTAATTCTCAGTGTACACAAAGTGCCTTATTTCTGAATCGCCATCTTTTGACCATCAATACAAACGTCATACAAAAAGAAAAAAAACAATACCTGGCAGCCGTCACAGTCGAAGTCACAAGTCTGTGTGCCAAAGCGGCGTGTGCCTCATTCAGCTATTTATTGACGATGTTGTTTTTTTTTTTCCTTGTACTTTGCAACATTAAGCAAACGCTCAAATAACAGAATGCCTCAAAACTTTGCATCAGGATAGGCCAAAGATTAGTCCCGCTGCAGAATACCCGTTTTGACTTTTAGTTACCTGGAGGTTACATTTTGCTTGAATTTTCAGCACCTAATCTATGAACCTTGATATCACATTGTTTTTCAGGAAGGGGCTTCTGCTCGGAAGGCTCAGACCCCTGCACTACAGCCTGTACCACGCCCAGGTGAGTTCAACAGCCTGCTGCTCATGGTAAAGCCTATCTGTTCCTTTTTGTTTTCTTTTCTCATATGTGTCACATTTCAGACTCGGCCAGTCTGGTATTTCAAGCCAATGTTGTAAACGTAACAGTGATGAATAGACAGTGTTACAGTTGTCCAGAAGTACCATATTTTCCATACTATAAAGTACTTTGGACTATAACGTGAACGTTCAATGAATGGCCTATTTTAAAAAACTGTTTTCATAAATAGGGCAGACCGCACTATAAGACGCATAGAATAGAAGCTACAATAAAGGCTGCTGTTATGCTATACATCCACTAGATGGAGCTTCGCTAAAGGCAATACAATACAATACAGCTTTATTTATATAGAGCTTTCACAACCGCTGAAGCTATAACAAAGGGCTTTACAGAATATTTAAAATACTACATTCGAGAAATCAAAATATTGATCCACTTATAAGGCACGGCCAGATTATAAAGCGCACTGTCGGCTTTTGAGACAATGGAATGCTTTTAAGTGCGCCGTATAGTGTGGAAAATATGGCATTTTGACAGTGAGAACTGTTCGTTGTTTTTGCTTTGATGTCACCATGGTGGATTTGATTTTTGAGTTTTGATGTAAAGTGGAAACATTTGGCAATAATTTAATAGATTTCAGGAAAACAAAATAGCCTGTATCATGCAGAGATGATTGTATTGAAGGGCTCAGTGTTTGTAAATATCACCATGATTTTTAGTGCTTTTCAATGTCCACTACCAGATCTTGATGCCCTGAAATAGATTCTCAAATCAAGCTATGGATACTTTTGATACTTCAATCATTTGAACGGTAATGCGCAGTTTATAATTAACAGGCACACAGTGGAAAGTGCCAAATTATTGAGATGTTGTCCAATTCGTACATGCTGGGTGGGAACTACTTTTTCTTCTGCGAGGGTAAGTGACGAATGCGTAAGGGCCGCGACACACCATCATCCATCTGTTTCTGTGTGTCTTCTAGTTTCACAAGCCAGACCGCCACCGAATCAGAAAAAAGGTAAGATGAAACTTGACGTTTGTAATGATTAATTTTTGTTCAAGCATGAACATGCATTGCATGGTATTGTATTTCTGTTGTTGATAAATGATCATTGCTGTGACTTAAAGGGGTATCAGTGTCGACAAAAAAAAAAAAAATTCAAAACACGACCAAATATGATGCAGCAGCGTCTTTCTGTCAGAGCTGTTCAATTTATAGAACAGTTTTGGATATATTAGTTGCAGAGAAGTGAAAATTCTATGTGTGAGCATAAGGGTACAATGATTCATCAGTGTGCTAGAGTTTGTGCTTATGTATCGATACATACATGCTGTGGGCATATATCGGATGACATGACAATGGCATTCTCCCGACAGGCTCGCGCACGCCCATTATCATCATCCCGGCCGCCACCACCTCACTCATCACAATGCTAAATGCTAAGGATCTGCTGCAGGATCTCAAGTACGTTGCGCCGTCACGATTAGTAGGTTTCAGTGAGGTATGAGGGGGTAGGTGAGGCGGCCGGGAATCAGTTGTCATCTTTGCCTCCCACCAGGCTTGTCACCTCTGATGAGAAGAAGAAGCAAGGCATCCAGCGCGACAATGAGGTTCTTCTCCAGAGGCGCAAAGACCAGATCCAACCCGGTGGCAACACGCTCTCCGTCACCGTCCCCTACAGAGTTATCGACCAACCTCTCAAACTAGCACCGCAGGACTGGTAAATTGTCAGAATATTTTTCTAAATAATTAATGAAGCCATCATGTGTTCATCGTATTTATTCATGGAATTTGTGTTGACACAAAGAAATCCTGAACATCGGATATTGTCAACTTGGACAACGTGCAGTGGGCACCATGCAGTCCATGTGCACTGAATCTTTTGGGGTTGAACGGACTAATTGACGTATTGAGTTCGATGAATTGCCAAACAAATTGTGGCACGAACAACACGGACGCCTCACTGAAATCAACAGGTGGCAGCTTCGCGGAGCTAACTAGTAGAAGTACCTCAAGCGCGGGGCAGTATTTGACTAAAAATGAGCAAAATCTGTGTATCGCTGGGTGATTATTTTTTTTTTTTCATTCAAGTGCCTTCATATGCTGGCACTGTTTTTAGGAAAGGACAAACAGAAATAGTGGAAGTAGAATTTAATACTATATATTGATATATAAGAACGCCCCCGCGCCCCTCCTTTAATGGGAACTTCAAGACCAACGGTGGTTTCGTTTGCTGAGTCCTTTTCCTCTGCTTTACAGGGACCGAGTGGTGGCTGTGTTTGTGCAGGGTCCTGCCTGGCAGTTTAAGGGCTGGCCCTGGCTTCTGCCTGATGGCTCCCCCGTCGACATTTTTGCCAAGAGTAAGTGATTTGCCATCTCGGTAGCTGCAAGGAAAGCGGAAGCCGCCCATCCTCAAACTCAATTATGAACGCGTTGCCTTCAGTTCGAGCCTTTCATCTGAAGTATGATGAGGCTAAGACGGACCTCAACGTGCAGAAGTGGGACGTGACGGTCCTGGAGCTAAGCCGCCACCGGCGCCATCTGGACCGACCTGTCTTCCTGCGCTTTTGGGAGACCCTGGACAGGTACGAAGCATTTGTCATGCCTCGCCTTTTGTGTAGATGATAATTAGCTGTTGACCGATCAAAAAGGTGCAGGCTGCATCGTATTTGAAGAAAAATTGTTGTATCCTTCACAAAAGTGCACATGGGGACCAGGGTTCTAATTATTTTAGGATTTTTCATTCTATTTATTTTGGGTTGACTTTTTTTTTCCTCAGTTGATTTGAATAGTTTTTAAACGCAAGTTTGCTGTTTTTTTTTTTTTTAATTATTTTTTTAATGCTTTGGTTTACTTCAGTTTTTATTAGTTTTAGTATTAGTTTTTTTTAACCTTAGGAGTATTGGTCGATCACAAGATAGCAAATCAAAAAGGGCCACGATGTGTTGTATCATAAATTGAAGTAAAATTCTCCAACAGCTGACCTTCCTTCTGTTGCAACTAGGGGTGTAACAAAAAAACGGTTTCAGCCGGAAAAACGTTTTTTGATTTCAAAGAGCGAGTGAATCGAATCGTTACACTATGAAATATCTCAAGATACGTCTCAAATTGTCTTTCTATTTGAGAGATGGGGTAATGGTACATTTCCATGACTAACGGGTTAATTCCAATTTATGTAAAATGCCGACAAAAAAGTCATTAGATCGGCCTCTTGAATTGAGCCGTACAATATTGGAATTCAATCGGAATCCCACTGAGTCAAATCGAATTGTCCCACTTTCGAATTGAACAGTTTCGCACCCCACATCTTAAAACCCCCTATCGAATCTTCCTTTGTGGCGAGATGGCCATCCGTAGTAGCCATGGATGTACAGCAATACCGAAATGAATACATTTAAAGTAAACCCTGACAGCTCACGCTTAATATCAATTGACACAGACGGAAACAAAATGTCCTTTGTTGGCTCTACTTTTAATTTTTATTACATTAATGGTCATGTTTTTTCAGTTTTAATTATTTCATTAGTTCTAGTTACCTAAAATAACCTTGATGAGGACTGATACACCCAAAAAAAAAACCAAACCTTCTATTCCTCCCTACCTTAGCTTTAAGCCCATTAAAAAATTCTATGATATCGAAATATCACAAATTTTTGTCAGCAGTTAACCTGAAGACACAAACTCACATGCGTTTTTTTTTTTTTTTCCTTGTTTCTTTGTCCTCCAGATACATGGTGAAACACAAATCTCACCTCAGGTTTTAAACACGGATCGCAACGGCCAAAACCCGGGAATCCCGATCAAACCTTCCGGCCCTGTTAGGCTATTCTGCTCGGCTTCTCTCTACCCGTGTTGAGCGGCCATTCCATATTCCAACGTGATGTTCCTAGGATGGGAATAGTGGAGCCGCCGGAGGACTCCCTGACAACTTGTAATGCAAATCTTCACAAAGAGGAGATTTAGCTGGTAGGGGCGGTGTTGGAAATCTTTTTTTTTTTTTTTAATGTTCCAACATGGGCAAACCTACAACTCTAACTCTTTTCTATCAAAAAGATGCCGCATTTTGAAATGGATCAGCAAAAGAGAAAAAAAACGACATTTAAGCAGCAAGTTTGGTCTCAGTGAAGACGAACTGTGTGACTCAACCATTTGGCGAAATCACTGTTGCCAAGTGAGTTTGCGAGTTTGCGTTGCGGTTTGATGTATATACATGATAAAATCCTACGGAGCCAAAGCGCTTTGGAGAAGAGATGAACGGATTTAATACTTTAGAAGGCTTTTGTCGGCTTTGTTTTGGACACGTTGTTTTTGAAATACTCGGCCGTACAATGACTCTGTTTCAAACTTCAATTTCTTTCGTTGATGTCATGATAGAGCCAAGGGACATTGGGTTTCTGAAGTGAGAAGACAATAAAGCCTTTAAGAAATATACCGGTGTGATGCTGTTTGTTTTTGAACCGTGTCGTATTTACAAAGGGTCGATCCAGCAGC